CGCCAACAAGCTTATGTAGTACGATAAACTACATAAATACAAATGCTTCTGATTAAAATATGATATATGGGCGAATGCTTTAATTAATCAGTCATTTTACACTTTACAAGGTCATAAAGACGAATTCAAGGACATGACCGACTTACATTTGAAAACAAGCTCTGCCAGAGAACTTGTAGAGAGAATTACCACTCTGTAATGTCTTCCAGGTTTCTCAAACGCTAGACGGCGCTCCCGAGCGAAGTCCAAAATGAATGGGTTTAGATAAAGCATTTGAGCAAAATCAGTTTATAAATGCTTAAACATTTTTAATGTTAAATAATACATTTATTTCCTGAACACTGAACAGCATAAAATATTTTAGCACTGCTGTTATATTTTTAAGAGCTTTTAAACTTGAGTTATATAAGTTTAAAATGGCACCTCATGTACATCCATGATGTCTGTGAGTGCGAACATCCAACCAATCAGCACGCACTAGCAGTAATGCCAGCGTTCTGCTGCCCAAAACCCGTTTTAAAAAAAAAGGAAATATGTAGGAAAAGGAAAAATACAGGTAAGTTTTCTTTGCTTTTTTAGTGAAATGCATCCTTCTTTAAGATTAAAGTGAAGTTCTGGGCAAGTGATTAGAAACTATTTTAACTTTTCGTTTTTCGGCTGTTGAGTTCCATCTACTCACATTCAATTCCCAGTCCTGGAGGGTGGGTTGGGGGGTGGTAGGAAGTGGCCAGGCTCCTCATAAACCGGCTCTGATTTTAGCAAAATAATAGTTTACAAATGCTTAAACATTTTTAATATAAAAGAATACGTTTATTTCCTGAACACAGAACACATAAAACATTAACACCGCTGTTATATTAAGAGCTTTTGAACTGGAGCTCGAAAAGGAGCTTAAAACGGCCCCTCATATACGTTCATGACGTCAGTAAGCTCAAACAGCCAGTGAGCTGCTCCAGCCAATCAGCACTCAGTAGCAGTAAATAGGACTGCTGAACAGCAGAGGGCGCCCGCGAGTGAGTCCTCAACGAAAAGTTAAAATAGTTGCTAATCACTCACCCAGAACGTTTCTTTAATTTTAGAAAGTAGAAGGATGTATTTCACTAAAACAAAAACAAAGAAATCTACCTATATATTTTCTTTTTTCTACTGCAAACGGGTTTTGGGCAGCAGAAGGCGGGTGTTAATGCTAGAGCGTGATGATTGATTGGCGAGCGGAGCAGCTCATATACATACACATATACATACATGAGGCGCCGTTTTAAACTCCTATAACTCGAGTTTAAAAGCTCTTAAAGATATAACAGCAGTGTTAAAATGTTTTATGATATTCAGTATTCAAGAAATTATCGCATTCTTTTACGTTAAAATGTTTAAGCGTTTATAAACCATGATTTTGCTCAAATGCTCCATATCAACCCATTCATTTTGGACTCACTCGGGAGCGCCCTCTAGCGTTTGAGAAAACCGGAAGACAGTGCAGAGTGGTCATTCTCCTCTCTACGAGTTCTCTGTTATCACTCTGTAATGTCTTCCATGTTTCTCAATCGCTAGAGGGCGCTCCCGAGCAAGTCCAAAATGAATGGGTTTAGATAAAGCATTTGAGCAAAATAGTAGTAGAAAGCCGCAGAAGAAAGAAAAAAAATACAGAAAGTCTTTTGCTTTTCAGTTAAATATATATTTTCTAAAATTAAGGGAAAGTTCTGGGTAAGTGATCCGAAGCTATTTTGAATTTTCGTTTTTAGCTGTTTAGCTCCATTTACCCCATTCACTGAGGTCTCGTCCAGTTTTTGATATAAGGTGGGAAACAGAAAGAGGTCGGGCTCCTCATAAACCAGCTCTGGTACGTACGTTTCGACGAACGGTGCCAAACATAGATTTTCTCTGGGTGTCAGAGGTGTTACCCAGTCAGCAGCGACGTGTATTTAACCCTGCCTTATTAAAAAGCCAGTGCACACAATGGATTCTAAAAAGTCATCTAATACATGCAGCTTGGTGTACACAAGTTAAATACGTTGTTTATCTGAAGTGTTCTACTTTTTTAATAAGGCTCCGAAAATTCTTCAAAAAGGGTACCAAGAACGACCTTTTCAGCTGCCATAGTTGCAACGCTTGCGTAACGCAAGAGTGGTCAACCCATCACCATTTCAGTTTACATCAACGTTTTGTATATTACTGATGTCATGCATATATATGAATGTTTCCTCTATCATATGTTGTTAAATACGTGTTACACGTACATGTTTGTACAAGTTGATGTACTAACTGAAATGTGTCCCATATTTGAAAATGGCCAATTTCAATTTAGTTAGCGTATAGGTCACATATGTCCATATGAGCAAATTAGGCAAATCCATATAATGACATCAGATTTCCATATGGGTGCACTTTACATCTTAATGAAGCACAAACCCTCTCCTCAATCTGAAGAAGGATGTCTAGCTGCTGAAAGGAGATCTTAAGCCATCAAACAAATTAAGGGCTTTGCAACTTATTTAGCTGCATAAATGAAACTTGTGTAACTGGTATATTAAAAAAAACAAACCAAACAAAAAACAGTCACGCTGTGGATTTATTTCCACCAAGCAGCAGCATGACAATCAAACGTCTGAAGATTGGGAGCAGAAATTACACAGGAGCACATTTAAATATCTGCAGTCTTTATTTCCACAAGACTCGGACATGTTTAATATACCTTTTCTCTTACATTTTAGCATCTACCTCATTGTTTCCCGCCGCGTAAGCAGATCCTCTGAAAGAGTAAAATGTGGACTGTTATGACCTCTCAGAGACCTCTAAAACTGATGTTTAATATTTACACTTTTCTTCCTCTTCATAGTCAAGTCTCTCTTACATCTTATCAAAGATATCTTGGCTCCATTGTCCAGGCTGTAGAGAGAGGGCGACTGCAATCTTCATTCTGTAGTTCAGTATTCCCACTAAAGACCGCTGGATCGGAAAAAAAAGCAATCTCCTTGGTTCAAGTGTCCATATCACTTCAACACTGAACGACTTGGAGTAACTTAATAGCCACATTGTTAAAGATAAGACATTGCCATTCCTGGAGACACTGGTTCCTTCTTTGTGTGCAACAGAGGGAAAAGTCTGCTGTGATGCCAGGAGATAGATAACTCACATTGTTTTCTATTCATGGCACACATACAAACAAAACAGCCTGGAAAGATATGTAGTAGATGAGGGAAGGAAAGCAAAATCGCAGAGCTGCAATGCTAAATTTTTCTAAAATGTCTGTTCAGCCCTCCTAAGGCAGGCCTGGCTTTCCATCCATGGGTACTGAGAGCTTATGTATTTGTCAAATGAACTGCAGTTAAAAACATCTGGCTAGCGTGCCATGTGGTGGGTGTTTGAATGGCAATCAAAAGTGCATAACAACATTAGGACACTCAAGAACTCATGGCCAACCCTGTCCTTCACTCTGCAGACTCTTCTACAACCATCATACCCAAAGCTAATGGGGGGAGGGGGTGTAGGAGGGGTGACAGGAATGACAATGGTAAAATGGTTTACAAAATCTAAGGCTTACATAACGACATGTGAAACCAATATAAAATCAGGTAATTTATGAAACTGTTAAAATGCAACCATCTACAGATATAAATATATTTTTGAATACTGTACTTTAGATATCAATGAAAGCAATATCTGAGATCATGTTTGTAGAAGCATTTAAGAGACATGCAGTTAAATAACTTACTGTACAAAAGCAGTTCATTGAGAAATGGGTGGAATACTTTTGGGAGTTGTGACAAGGAGCTCTATTGTTTTTTTATAGTAATACTGTACTTGTCAGTCATCAAGATGAAAACCCACATGTACAGGCAAGTGGCTTGTAAAGCAAAAGAACAGTCCACAAGCCATAAAATGTAAGATACAATCAACTTTTGTGAGAGGTTGTACAAATCACCGCCCCTTTTTTCCAGTGTGGGGAAACAGAGCAAAATAACGTACCAAGGCTGTGGTTCAGTGGGAAATAAACATCTGTTGTAACGCAGAGACAAAACTAGCAGACGGTTAGAGTGGATTTAAAGAGGGTCCTCTCTTAGGTCCATCTTAGACCCAGAAGTTTAAAGGTTTGACATTAACCCTTAAATTAACATTTACACAAATACAGAAACCACTCTATATCACTCGAGTCAGCTCCATCAGTCATTCTGGCCAAAGAAAATTTGCTGTAGTACCTAATATATAGATTTACACCTTAAAATAAAATAAAACTCCACATAAAAAACCCTGTGTTATTTTCATTATTTTTCTATACCTCCAGCCTAACTGATTCATACTGTACAATTGGTTTTCATTTTGTCTTTCCTGAAGCACCCAAGCACAAAGCATCCACTTTGTCAGGTCGTTTGATTCGTATTGTGCATGCAGACATACCCAGACGATTAAAGCTGAATGATCAGGTCACATCTGTGCACAGTCTACTCCAGGCACAGGTCACTGCCAGATTTGCCCTTTGTAACAAGGCACTGATGGGCCTTTCATCAACAAATCAGCATTCAGATCAACGTAAAGACTATTCCAAAGTTTCCAGCTCCGTTAAACAGATGCGGTTCATACTCTTTTATAATGAGAGACTGCATTCTAAAATAATGAACTCCCTGAAGAAACTGTGTTTGGGATCATTTGAGACAGGAGCTGCGACAGAACTGACAGCAGTACACATGCACAAAATTACACCTATCCATGCGAACCACTTCTATCTACCAAGTCATCTTTTGTGGCTTGGCCCTCATCTGCTCTCATATCAAAGAACTTGCTGCTGTGATTCGGTCAACACACTGATGGCATGCGGACAGACCATAGTACACATACAAAATAAGCGTGTGTATTTTGTGTGTCTACTGTGGTGACTATGTACCTGCTACATTTTTGCTTCACTCCAACTGAACATGTGGTACAGGTATTGATTTATGATTTGCTAGCTTAGCTTAGGAAAAGATCTCTCAGTCATTTATATATATATATATATAACACAAGTCAACCACTAAGGCTCATTTTGGGAAGAGACAAAAGAAAAGAAAACTAATTGTGTAGCACTGAACACTGATAATGGCTGGAGGGAGCAAAGTCCAGTGTGAAAATGGACCAAAGGGAGGCGTATTGCTGTTGTGAATCCCACTGCTGTACATGACCGTCCATTTATATTATATATATATATATATATATATATATATATATATATATATATAAAAATTAAGGTGAAGTTACAATATTAATAGCTAGAGTCTTCCCTAGATGGCAGGCAGACCATAGTCCTGAAGGCTGTCTTTTTTTCCTTTTTCATTAAAATGTCCTCTGACAGTTTTCTGTTTTCCTCAGTACTGCTCAACCTCTCTGTTCTCTAGGGTACTCTTATCTGGTGCGGGGTGCCAGGAGAGCCAGAGCAAGGCCTGCCAGGGCCAGAACCAGGCTAGAGCGGGCCAATCGCACACCGCTGGAGGAACCCCTGTCTGTGTAAGGCACGTGGATCTTGACAGGCGGAGGGGTGGAAAAGTACATGTCATCATTGTTGCAAGAGGACAAATCGCAGCCACTGCCACTTTCCTCTCCGCTGCCATCCTCTTCTGCACAGAGACAAAAAGACAGTGAGCTCAAAAGTAGTAAAGTACATAATGACATTCGATTTACCGATCTTGTTGCACTGTCCAGGGCACCTAATGCAGTTCCAGAGGACCATTCAGATGGCTGACATTGTAAATCATGTTAGATTGACTAATGTTTATGCATTATCGAGGGCAGAGTTTCCACTTCTGGTGGCCATGCCCTGCCATGCACAGTTTCAGCTATTCCATGCCCCTACACCTGATTCAGCTCACAAAGGGCTTGATAATTAGCTAAAGAGGTGGATCAGGTGTGAAAATCTTTCAGTGTTTCAGAAGGGCTTGTTAAAAAGCTGATTATGTACACTGAAAGAAAGGAAAACACCAAAGTATGCAGTATAGCAGTTTGAGGACTAGGACTGCTCTAGGGATAAGGTGTTATAGGTGTTATATGTCTCACCGTTATCAAAAGTGATGTCATTTCCACTGTGAGCAGCCTTCAGCCGGCTGGTCATTTCTTTCAGCACAGCAATTTGTCGGCGAATCACAACGTCTGGCTTGGTGATGTCTACTTCAACATGGGGATTGGATACCTGGTTGGCCAAGCCGTTGCCCATGACTACAGATTCATACCTGAGACAGAAGAAAACAGAAGAATGTGAAGTGATGTGTCCTCTGGCAAAGCAACTCATAGGGTTGGTATGAACATTTAAAAGACTGACAGCACTTGGAAGGATCTCTTTCTCACCTGCTCTTGGCTGTACCATTCCAGCACTCATCGCCCTGGGCAACCCTTTCTCCAACACAAACTGTCTCTGGCAGTGTGGACCAGAACTTCTTGGCATGCTTCAGCTTCTTCTTCACATCAGTCACCTTAGTGATGAGTTCAGGGAAATCAGTTACAATTCACACATCTGAAATCTCTCAAACACGAATATGTAGTGAATGAATTATGTAGTTCTACAATGCTGACAGTGTAATATCTAAGCTTTTTTGTCAAGGATATTTTGTTACTAAAAACTGGTAAGTGTGTGAACGTTTACCAGTCGGTCCATATTGGTGCCGGCTGCAGTGGTGGGTCTGGCATCAGGGCTGTAGGGACGGAAGCGGCCAGGGAAGCCTGAGTCTTTTGTAGAACGTCGAGCGCGAAACGTGGGTTTTGGCTGTCCACAACCCTGGAACACCTGACAGACCAAATCAGGGTGAGCATAACAGTGTCAGACATTTAGCACCTTCTTTTTCAGTTGGGATGGTTGGTAAAATGTACCTAAAAACAGGAAGTAGTAATTTATAAATCTATTTTGACCTGTATTTAAACAAAAGCAGTACAAACACAAAATACATAATGTACCTTACCAACTTCGTGTTTTGTTTTTTATTCTGAAATTGATGCCTGCAGTTGAAATGCTCAAAAAACATCAATTTCAGAAAAAGTGCTTGGATGTAAAAGAAGCATCCAGGAAAGGCCTAGTCCTTAATGCGCAAAGATGGGTTGGGGCTCACCTTTTATCCAAAATGCATCACCAAAACATCCATCAGTTTAAAACTTACAGTTATCAACCAGAGATTGAAAGGATTTTAGGTATTTCTCCCTCTATGGTGCATACTATCAAACGATTCAGGGAGAAATTTCTATGTGCCAAGGGAAAAGGCCAAAAACCATAAATGAAACATCAAATGTTTTGTTTTTGTACTGTTTTCGATTTAATACAGGTCAAACTGAATTTACTAACCACTGCTTCCTGTTTTTATTAGCATTTCACATATTGCCACAACACATTAAAGAAATGAGAAATTAATGCAGTCACTGACCTTCTGTGAGACTTGCATGCTGTTTTCCTGCATGTTCATGATAGCATCTGAGATCTTCACATCAATGGGGTCCATTACAGACTCAAAGTTGAATGGACCCTCCAGTCTCTCAGCCAGACTCAACATGGCATCTAAGAGTCAAACCCATGCATTGATTAAAAAAAGTGTACTGAAGGTAAGAAACATACATTATAACCAGAACTTTGGGGAAACCATAGCAACACAGCCTTCCCAACTAACTGCACAGTGCTTCAGCAGTTAATCAGATTTGGTGGAGCAGGGAAAATGCCCGGGACCTTCAATACAAGCAGTAAGAAATACTGCCAGAGCTCATACATCAATCATTGATAGGTGTTGTAACTGATCTCTACCACTGGGGGGAGCACAAAACTAGCTGATGAGGCTTAGTAGGCTGCCATGATCACAGCCTGTAAAACCCGTCAGGGGTCTTAACTAGGCGCCCCAATTAAGGCGCCACAAAGCTGACATGCTGGGTGAGCAAAGCCAGTCCTAACGTCCTTCTAGCCAGAACCTAAGTGTGCACATGGGCATGTGTGTGTCAGGAGCTGGGACTATACTACCTACATATTCACAAGAGGCACACCACACTACATGAACCACACTTAAATATCAGAGCTTTCTTTCACATGCTTAATATCCATATTTAATTTCATCACAGGCTGCTATTCCATGGGTGAACAGACATTAAGAATGTATTCTGTTCATTAAGAAAACACCCCACTATTTCCATTTATACAAACAGTTCTTCGGACAAGCTAGAACTAAAAAGGACTGAAGTCGGCCTTTACAGGAACAACACTGGCAAACAGCAGTTATCCTTGCAGAGAACTTGACATATTAATTGGTATGATCCTTTACAGTCCAATCCCTCATTAGTGTGAATAATATGCTCTTTCGCACTACTTCAGTAAGGAATTCATTTGCCCTCACATTCGTGACTTACCCAGGAAGTTGTTCCATTCAGTGTCCAAGTCGGCCTGGTTGGCCAAACAGCCGCGCATTACGTTGAGGCAGTAGTTCTTACAGGGCTTCAGAGCCACCTGGCCTGTGCAGTATGGGCAGTACAACATTTTCATAGCTGCACGCACACAACTCGGAGAGGCACTCACCTGTGAGAAAGCGGGGGAGGAAATGGTGCCATCATTAAAAAGTGAGCTAAACAGATGAAAGGCTTGGAGCAGAGGTTGATTAGTAACCAAGCCTAATGAATAAGTGGGATGGAGCTCATAACTGCTGAGAAACCAATGGACCAGTGGACAGTGCTCCTTGTTTCTCAGCGTTTTGAAAGGTTAATCATACTTAACCTTTATTTGCTGTGCTTTTACTTTAAAGTATAAATGTTTAATCGTTTGTAGGGGGATGCTGGTTAGCTTTACTGGAGAGAGATGAGCTGCCATCACTTGCCTGGTAATTCAGACCAACAGTGCTTAAGTTAACCTAAGCAACCCGAGCCACTCACCGTGGAGACTTTGCTGACCACGTCGGGGATGAGTGCCAGGCCGAGGGTGAAGGTGCGAGCCGCCACAAAGGCGCGGGTCAGCTGAAGCCTCAGTTTGCGCGGAACGTCGCCGAAGGGCTTTAGCTGTTCCGTGTGCCGGCTCACACACTCCATGTAGGTGTCGGTGAACTCGTACTGCACGTTGACCAGCCGGAACATACGCTCCAGCAGCTCAGCCCAGAACTCCGCCAGCATGGTGTCCAGGTGCACAGTGGCACCCCCAGAGGCGTAGTAGCGCCGCAGCTCGTGGAAGAAATGCTTGAACAGCTCAGCGTTCTTCACGTACATCACGCCATAGGTGCGCACGAACATGTCATGCAGTGACTTCTCTGCGTTGTTAAGCAGCTCTTTGAAGAACTCTGGGGGCGGAAGGAGGGAATGGGGAAGGGAGGAGAGAAGGAAAGAGTGAGAGAGGAAGGAAAGATAACAGTAAGCTCTAAACATACCAGACCTTGATAAATGATTATTCCATGTGTGTGTTATTTCCTGTGGCAGAACATGAATCTGAAACATTCCACTCTGTGTTGTGACAAATTGGGATCATCAGCTTGGACAGAAGGGAATTTGCACCCATTAAGTGTGCCTAGTTGCCGTTTCTCTCTGGAGGACTAACACGCGTTCTACAGCCAACACTCATCATACACAGAAACACACATGTTAAAATACTTGATTATTTTAAACACAACTGACAGAATGTAAATTGGGGCATTTCTCAGAGGATAAAAGTAAGCTGCTCTCAGTACTCAGGAACTTGTGTTGGCCAAATCTACATTACTTTGTCATTAGAATGACACTCAAGAGAGTGAGATTTAGTGCTCCACAAAGCCCAGAGCTCAGCTTGCTCTTCGCCTCTGGAAAAACCACTAGGGCTGCCAGCAAGGCCAGAAAAGCACAGGGTTATTATCTAAACACATTAATGCGTATTCCATTTGACCCAACGCTGTTCCCAAACAAAATTCTCTTGCAGTCTCTTTAAGGTCTTGGAAAATATTCTATCGCAGAAGAAAAGTGCTGAGAGGGTAGAAAAGAGAAAAAAAGAAGCTGAAGAAAGAATGAAGTGCTGCTTGCTGTTCAAACGGTAATGTCTCACCCATCAAGCCAGTTGAGACTGACCGCTATCAATGGCATTTTTCTGTTGTCACATTCCATTCGCTTTTTTCCCCCCTTTCTCTCTCTGCGCTGCTTCTGCTTCGTCCTTCAGAGAGGAGCTTTCAATAGGATTACTGAATAATGCGGACCCCCCTCCATGAAAAGGGACCTGTACCCCGCCTCAAGCCCCTCTCTCTTTCCCTTTCCCTTGCTTTTAGTTCATCAGTTCCTTCAGAAGGCCCTCTTCAGTGAAGACAGGGAACAATGACCTACTTCATCCTGTGGAATGTCAACTCCCCCAACAGCCCCCCTACCCCCAAATAATCCAGCCCCTCTCTCCCATGAAACTCTTTCCCCACAACCCTTGCTTTCTTAATCTGAACAAAATGAGAATTCCACAGAAAACGTTTCACCTTTCTCTCACATATACAACCATAGACTCGCAAACAACCAGCCACTTTTGTCCTCCGTGCCACCTTTGCCCTCTTATTGCTTATTGTTAAAAAACACTGCTGGGAAAGATGGGTTTCAATGTAGCTTTGATGTGTTAAGTGTCCATGTTTGTCGCTAGATGTTCTTCGTACATCAGGCCAATACCAACACAGGAAGAAAGCCTCTGCTGGAGAAACACACTGACACCAAGTCAGCCTGGCACTGTCACTTCCACCTCACACTGGCATACACTCAGCAAAATGGTAGGTGGTTTGTGCCTGTGTGTATATCAGGAGGTGGAGATGAAGCCGAGGCCTTTTTCTAGCTCCCCTCCTCCTCCCAAACCCGCTGTGTAACCACGGATACCGGAAACACCGCAGCCCTGTGTTGAGCCCTGCTCCCTCAGCCCCTGACCCATACAGGGAGAGGGAGAGGGCACCCAGCTCCACGCTCCATTGACAGAGATTATAACGAAAAGGCCACGGCACCTCCTCCCCAACTCATGGAGGAATGCCAGAACTTCCACAAGTTTAAAGTCAGGCAATACAGCCATGATTGGGAAAACAGGGGGCTGTTTCTGGGTTTCTGTCCCCAGTTCACAAATGTCAACCGGTTTAAACACAAGCCTGTTTCTATAAAGATAACTGACAGATCTAGCTGAGAAGATGGAAAACCACCTAAATTAAACCTGCATGAATCACAGACTGAGACCTCAAGGGTTAGTCACCAACAAACAAACCAAGCAGACAAAGCACTGTAAAATGCAACTCAAATCCCATAAATAATTAGAAAAAAAAGGAAAAGCATAGAAAAGATACATTAAAGCAATTTTCCACGATTTTCAACAGGCAGATTTTCGTAACTGCAGCTCATAAGCTCAGAGCACTTGGTGACTTAACAGACCAGAGAGCACTCAGTAAGGTTTAGAATTTGAAGTAGGGATGTAATTTGGACTAGTAAAGAACGGTAAACATAACATTAGAACTTAATATAGAACTTTGAGTAGCCCATCATTATTTATTCCAGTCATTTTGTCAGTCTTTTAGCTCTTGGTCATATAATAAACATTTAGTTGTCAGCTGCTTGGTTTAAACACCACCAGTTTTTTTTCCCCATATATATTTAATGTGGTTTCAGCCCTTTTACTTCAGACAGAGTATCAGTACAACACTCTATGGTCCATACAAGGAACATTTTTAATATCCAAGCGTTAGTACAAAATTTAGTGGATGTGTACAGTCATAAGTGTGCATATTAAATATTTTACAATAGCTTCAAAATGTAGCTCAGCCAACTTTTAAATCTGGAAGTTTGTTTTCTAACTAATAATTTGGTGGATCAGGTCCCTCATTTTGGCTTGTCCGTTAACAATCAATCGCAGACTAACTGTGGTTGGTTAAAGGTAAATAGAACATGCCAAAATTTGCATCCCTAGTTTGAAGGCTGTCTTAAACCTGCGTCTTTGTTCTCATCATTAAATGCAAGTTTATGGTGTGTAGGAGTCTGCCAACAAGCGGCAAAGCTTTGCATCTCCTTTCTGATTTTTCCATTAAAGCGAGCTTTATGGCCTGCCTTTGGTTCAGAAAAGTGTGTGAAAGGTTATATGCAAGGGTGATCTTTGGGGGTAGTACCACATAACGTCAGTAGTGCTTGGTCCGCATGCACAATTTCTCACTTTTCAAAGGCCGACCATTCTAAGTAGACCACTCTGTCTTTCTGCAAGACATTCCCTCTTTCTCTCCGCTTTCCTCCAGTGACCTGCACACTTGTACCCCTTCCAGGGAAAACACGGGTAACATTTTAACATGTGTCCACACTGTGCATAACACTGTGAACGTAAAAAGGAGAAGCTTCCGGCCAACTGTGCTCCGTCTTTTCTTCATCTATCCATCCATCCATCCCCCTCCTCAATCCGTCTCCTTTGCGCTTTCTTGTCCCAGCCAGTAATTGCTCCCCATTTGTGCCAATTAGTTGGTGAGCCCCTTTCTTTTTTTGTGGGATTGCGGGCACCCTGCTGCGTGGCGGTGGTGCAGGAGATGGGAGTATGGGTAGGGGGTTAATCTTGCAGCTAAGACCTCAGACAACGGTGTTCTGGACAGGGTTACCCAGACCGGACACACAAGGAGGGAACAAACACACCGAGCACCAGAAGAAAACTATTTCTGGCCAGGGACTTAATTGGCCGTGACCAAAACCTTGAGGCTGTCCGAGCTGAAACTGCTCTCCGCCACACACAAATACACCCACACGCTAAACTTCCTTATGCGGACATGCTTATGCTCATTTTGCCTTGATGACCATTTAGCTTTAGTATTTACTGAAGACATTCTGCTGCATTCCCAGTTGACTAGTTTTGTTTGCTTGTTTCATCTTATATCTTACATCCTCTGTAAATACATTCTGCCATTTCCTGTGAGTCTGTTCCGTCGAGAGGAAGTGCTCGTTTTTGGATGTTTCAATGTAAACAGAGTAATCCATGACACTTACTGCTGGTGAGAAACTCACCTTCTCCAGCACACCATCCTCACTGAAACCCCACTAGCTCATTTGTTACATTTACAGGCATTTCGAAGGTCAAGATAATACTTACACTTCTGTATTGAGGGCAGACTCCATTGTTGCACTAAGAGCACATAGCACGTTACTGACGTCTTAGGGCCTTTTAGCTCATTAAACCAAGTGCCTGAGCCTTTTTCACAGTGTGCACAGACCAGCACTTCTAAGCTTATTCCCACGGTAACAGTTCAAAAGAGCTGAGAACCTGGAGCTGGAGAAGAAATGAAAGGCAGAACAGAGTGATGGCAGAGAGAAAGGAAGAGAAAAGGAACAAAAGGCAAAGAGAATGGGAGCAAGGAGAAGGAGAGGGGGAGGAATCAGGCTGCCACCGCATTCCGACACGTCACATTCCTGCTCACATCTGGCTGCAATACACACATTCTTATTCACCATCACTCCCTAAGCCTTACTTTCTTTTTTACATTTTAACACCGATACACACCCTCCCTTCAAAGCTATTTATCAATCACCAACATCCATTTTCATAAATGTAAGACTGGTATCCATGTGCGTGTGTGAGAGAATGCTCGTGCGAGCATCTTTTCATCTCTCCCTCCCTGACACATTCTCTCTCTACTTATCACTCTTCCTGACCCTGAGGGTTACATGACACTCAACCTCGCTTTCTCTTCTTAACACACATTGTCAAAAAGTGTCATATGCCAGCGAGCGCGTAAATCAAATAGCCATTTGCTCCATAACCCTCCTTCAGTCTCTTAACACGCGTGCCAGAGAGGCAGCCACGGTTGAACCCATTTCAAAGTTCCACGCTCCCCTGCCAAAGACCCTCCAGTTGTACTATCACAAATGAGGCTCTTGTTTTAAATGACTGTGAGAGCACCAGTGTATTACAACACGATGTGTATGTCTGGAAAGGAGATGCGTCATCCTGTCTCATTGTCCTTCGTACCTAGTGTGCAGCTAACATCTGTGGTAAGGCAAAAATCACACTTGCTCTCTCCAAGCCCTGTGGAAACAGCTCATGAGTCTAACATCTCTGAATATTTGCTATAATTCAGCAGGTAAAAAGAGCTTGTTGAAATGTTTTTTTGGGTCTACATTCTATACTGTCTACCCTACTGTGTAAAGAGCTCCTCCAGTCACCATTTTGTATTCTGTAGGAATGCACTGAAATTTCACCATTGAAATTTTCAGCCAGAACACAAAAAGGCAGAAAAATAAAAAAAAAAAAGGAAGAAACCTAAAAGATTAAACAGACCTACAATGAACTGTCAAAAAAACTATACAAATAATTTTAAATTTTAATGAAAATGAGAAATAGTGACTAAATATGAGGTTCCTTCCACTCAGGCGTGTTCAAACAGATTGAGCAACAGTGGATCAATAGTGAACACGTGATCAAGAGGGAGAACAACGCTTATGAACTTTTCCACCACACGTTTGGTTCTACTTGAAAACACAAAAGACTGCTTGAAATCCAGAACACAGCAAAACAGAAGCAGAAAGGAAAGTCCCTGGCAGCATACAGACACCTCTACTTTTGAAATTATGAAAGGAATTCACAAACGACACTGAAAAAGTGCTACATAATTAAAAGAGCATTCATTGCCTTGGATGATCAACTGTTCAGTTGTCGAGAATACTGGCAATTTGCGGCACATACTGGTGGCTGACTTTGTGTAACACTTTTAGTCATTTTCTTTTAGCATTTTCGTTAGCATTTTCAGTGCATCACTAGTGTTCAGTGTATTTTAGAAAATAACTGTACCAAAATAGTCAAATTCAAAAGTGGTGATATTTGAGACTTTATGATGCAAGAACTGTTTTTTAAAGAATAATTATCGAATCTAATAGCTGTGAGGTTAGAGATTTCCACCCCTGGTCCAGAGAGCAGCTCTCCCCAACCATTATCCGTTAAGGAACTTATACTGAAACTTATCCGAGACCAACAGCTTGTGGCAAAGCCTCACTTAGCTCTAAACTACTGTTTCTTGCACTGCTTTATAGACTGCTGAGTTACACCTAGATGAATGCCATTTAATGACATGAATGTGCTGAGAAGCATTCAGTCTCACTGAGTGTGTGTGTGCTGACCAGCGGCGTGTATATGTGGGGTTTTCCCCCTTGTCGGTGAGTCAGCAGTGCTGTCGCATGTTCCCATGCACCCCCTCACCCTCTGCACAGGATAAACCTGATCCCCCTCCCCCTGACTGATATATACAGCCTCATGCACTAGAGGGAGGAAGCCTGGCTCTGAATGTGTGTGTGGTCTGTCTGAAAGCTTCTTGTGTGCGCATGTGTGCATGTGGGACAGACGACTGTGGGATTCTGGGGAACAGGTGGAGAGACGAATGGAGAGACAGCCTGTGTGTTTCTGGCAGTCGGAGGTGTCTGTCAAGGTTGTTGCAGCCCGAGGGGGTTTCAGAACAGAACAGAGTTGAAAAAAAATATCTGAAAGCATTTAAGTTCCCAAATTTACAAATGTAACAATGTAATGGATAATTCACAAAAGAGCTGGTTGTACGGCCTTGCTTGTATACTGACAGGCAACAAACCATCTGACTTGGAGATGCACTTCTATGTGTGTGTATGTGCGAGGGAGCAACAGGTGTACTCACGATCGAAGTGTTGGTGTCTCTGTGTGAAGGTGCTCTGCAGGTTGGAGCTCAGCTGAGAGACAGGAGCCTTCAGGTCTGAGCGGCTTTGCTGACTCAGCTTCTCCTCCATCTCCAGAGTGCAGCAGGAGAAGCCTTGAGGACATACTTTCAGATGGGCTCCTGGCACACAGAAAAGTAAGAGGAAGAGTTATTTTGGAACATCAACCTTGGAACATCACCACTTAATACGTAAAAAGAGAAAACATGTTTTGAAACACTCATTTTAGCCAAAATCCCTAACTCTATCAGATAACCTTACAACCCAAATGTTTATGAAGTTATGGACAATTAGCAAAATGGGTTCCTAGAAGCATTACAAATAAAAACACATGAGATTATAAGTGTGTGGTCAGCAGTCATAAGGAAAGTTATGTATAACAATAAATCAAAGCAATCATATGGAAAAAAATTCAAATACATGAAACCAAAGAAACAACTAAAAATCAGACATGAGCCAATGCTTCCAAGTAATGTTCAGCTCATTCTTCGATCTTTCTGACCCGAAAACACCACTGATCCACAGTCTCCAAAAAAGAGGGGCACAGTAAGGCGAAGAGAGTGGGCAAAACGAGCTGGCTATTGCATTAGGATGAGGGGGGCTGAATGCGTAGTCACAGCTGCAATAATGTTTTGTTTTTCTTTCTTTTTAATGCGGTTGCTGGAATTCATGGAGAACACAAGGGGCCTTTCAGTGGACCCGACTCCAACAGGCTGTTTGGCTTCCCCTGCCAGCCTACTGGAACTGTAGCCACTCAAGTCTACACACTGCAGCCTGCAGACAGACACATCCACTCATTCACAGCTACTGCTGCTGTGAGCCAAACAGGCCGTTTTACAACTCAGCTTGAGTGATCGGTGGCTCAAACAGCACAGACAAGCAGGTACAGTGGATGTGTCTGAAGAGCCTATGATGAGCATGTTTTGGAGATAATGTAGATGAAATATTAAATACATTTTAAAACTATAACTATACATTTTATAACTATAGCTTATCAATTCACATGGCATTGTCTAGTCAAATATGTGTGATAAGGTAAAAATCCAGAGCGTCTACTAAATGAGTAAGCGTGACTGTAAAGTGAGTAGCTGCTGAGAGCTTGCAAATAATCACCATCACCGCAAAACATCCAGCAGGAATTGTCACAGTGCTTAATGCCAGGGTTCTTTCGACACAGTGATGGTGTGTTAATGTGGAAGGGACGCCACCCTGTGCAGAAAAGCGGCAAGCTTATTTGCAAACATTTGTGCTTGGACTGCTTTTAGACATCACGCTGACAGGATCACGATCGTGGTCCATGTACTGTCACACTGCTAAATAAGCATAAATGAAAACAAGGGTTCTGAATTTAGAACTGATCTAAAAAGACTGTTATTGTATGGAAGATACCACAGAAGGCTGAAATCTACTGCTCTCATTTCAGTAGTATCAATAAATACACTCAAGTACACCAAGCACCTGACCCCACCCTGCAGTGGCCCCAACCCAGCTGCACCCCTCACTCTTCTGAGATCCCGTCCAGGCTCAATAGCATGTCGCCTACACACGCGCACACACACTTACACTTCTGCCCAACACATAGGTCTTTGTACAGAGGTGAACGGGGGGAAGAATCTGGCTGAAGCAAGTAAAACACAGACTGAAATATAAAAACATTTGAGTGGAACAGAACATCAAGACTAGTACAGTGCTGGACCTCCTAGCTGACCACATATCTGAAGAATGACTTTGGACTTTTGCCTACTTTTAAACTGGTTTACCAGATCATGTAAATAAAGCAGGACAAAGTCAAAATTTCCTAAGAACGCAGGTACAAATATTGCAGAATGGCAGAACATAGCAAAAGCTTTGATGGTCACCATTGTCTTTTTGTAAATTCTCCAACTTTGACATACGTAATTTCTGACATGCTAAATCACATTAAAATACTTTTCAACTCTTGACTGGTTCTTTCACATTAAAACAAACTAATTCTCAAAACAGCCACTGACATTACCAAATCAACTTACAATGTCCAACAGCAACAGCACATTCAAATTCTATAGCCCATGGTCACTTTCTGTTATCATACGGTGATGGAACAAAGGTCAAAGAATTCTGGCTCACTTGTCCTATACTCCATTATTGATTCTGCAAAGTCAATAGGCAGGCAACCTTCCCTACAACCATACAAGTAGGGACTCACCAATATGGGAAGTGGGCATATGAAGATTTCCAATATTTTTAAAAAACATATCTGCCGATACTAATGCTGAAACAGAGCCATTTTATAAAATTTAGAAACTGTAATATGATCCACCCGGAGAAAAATGTAATAATTATTTGTAGAGAATTATGAACACAGTAAAATACCTAAAATGCAGTCATTTTAGCACAGTAGTCCAATGGTGCTCCAACATTGTTTGAAAAATCATATATATATATATAAAATGTGTGTGTTTTTTTATGTGTGTGTATGTTTTTTTTATTTTCTTCTTCAAGCAAATGTGAATAAACATGCGAATGTAATGGGGGATTTTTATCTACTTCCCCCATATGTTTAGTGGTCAGCGACTTTCCTATAAATCTTAATGAGCCTGGGTTATTTCTCCATTAACAAAAAGAGTCACTTCCTGTTGACGTCCTACATTTCCAGCAACAACCCATTTTGGTGGAAAGAAGAATGTGGAGCAAACCAAAATTAGCTCTCCTGCCCTCATACCCCTACTCCACCTTTTGCCATGATGTGCCCCCGCCACCCTTTATCCCAGCCCCAGACAGACTTGAGTCCTCCTAGCTCCGCACCACCAGCCTCCGAGCTTAACCATCAGGGTCAAAGGTTAACAGCCACTCCTCTGAGAGAGGCCATGCACTCTGACCCTGCTGGGCACTGGCCAGCAGACCCACCACTAGCACACACACCAACACATGGCTCAACCAAGCCCTGGGTCCTCCGAGTCAGAAGTTGTAAATTCCCAAGGGGATTATTTCAGGCCGTCCGCCACTATAAATCGCTCCAGCCGCCACATCAACATGCTGTTGCCAAAAAGAAATAGAGTAATAGGCTCCCTTGGTGTCTGTCTAACTAGAAGCATGCAGCAGTTTCCATATGCCAACACAAGGGCCATCAACACTTGGCCACCACTGGGCTCATACTTACTATGATTATACGCTCTATCATCAGCAAATATGAACAGGACAAAAATGACATTCTTGTCTGTTCCAAAATTTAAATGTGTCTAAAATTCAGGCAAACATTCTTTTCCCACAACTAACTTCCAGCAAATAATTAATAACAAATGAATATGTCAAAGCAATATTTTCTGGGTTAGCGATCATCAAAGCTTTCAGCCGCAAGAACTTCTCAGAGAAACTGCAACAAAAACTGAATGTCTGGCCCGACCAATGTTCTTCTAAACGCGAACGATAAAAGTTAACTCTGGGTAAGCTGAAACTTTCCGATTACATCCAAAGAATAAAAAGACTGCCAGACATTCAAAATTAGGTTAACAAAGTGTTTGAGAAACACCCACCAAGACCGCTTTCATTCCTATGACTACAAAACAGACAAGTGCAAATCCACCCACCCTACAGTCATAAAGCTCTGCCGATCCTTACTTTAACATAGGCAGCAATTACCACTCTGGGAGGGGGTCTTCCATTTGTCAAGGAACTTCTTTTTCTCCCTCTAGCACCCTGCCCCCTCTCTACACAGTTAAACAGACACTAGGAGACTATGATAAAGCAAGGTAGTCTAGTCTTCTCAGAGTAAAGAAGATATCTCTGAAGATCTCAGCATGGTAACAATAGAGTTGTGAACAACATGCACAAAAATCACTGGACTGAGGCTGCACAATACAGATACAATTCTATTTTTGTGGTCACACTGTGACATGAATCAATAATTTGACATAGTTGGCCTGCATTCTTTTGATCAAAACAATTTGTTTGTTGGTTTATATGAAAACCTTCAGTACTGCAAAATTCAATGTCATGATAACAAATGGTATATATCGTGCAGCCCTGCTAGAAGGTGTAGCTGTTGTCTCAGTAGTCGCATTGTAAAATAATGACCATCACATCCTTCTGCAGAAAAACCCTACACATGCATTCCTGTTACCTTAGACGCAGACTAAAGCAACAAGATTAAAGGGACTAGCTCAGAGTGAAACTGAGCAGGAACATTAAGGATAGATAAGCACTGGATATTTGATTTGTAAATCATAGCTATTATGCTCTGCAGTCGTCTCTTCCCAAATCTGGCTTTCATGTTGGGGCAAGCCACCAGTGGCTGCTTTCAGCACTCCTCCCTCTCCGTTCCAGCTGCCAGAGCAATATTTTCTATCCGCTTTTCATCCCTCCACTCTGTGTGGCCCAAGGCCATGTTGAGATTGTCCATCTCCTGAAGCGCTAAAAAGGAGTCCTCCATGACTTTTAGACAAACAGTTTCTTCCCAACTTTGACTCAGGTAGCCACACATTTAGATTATACTCTGACAAGTCTTTATATGAGACATGTCTTTTTGAGCAATGTGGTCATGTCTCATATGCTTGTTAATCTTTACCTCTTCAAATACTTGTAACAAAACTGAGCTTATTGCAGTACATGTTACTGCTTGGTGTACACATCTAATATAACTCTCATACTTGAATCCTGGAACTTGATTTGCACCAACTACATACTGAAATGTTTGACTGATGTATGTATAACAGTTTTAAGCAGTTCTGTATTGAGTGCCTGAAGCTTTACTGAAGCAGAAAAGTCAGTCTTGCTTTTAAGGAAACATATGGTCCTACACAACGTAAAAGGTACAAGTGCACAGATTTTCACCGCAGTTTCCACCTCAGTGGAAGTGTGTTCAAAAGGGATGACTGTAACAGGAAACCATTATTAGAGTCCAACGCTCATATGGAGGTGATCAGCAGGCATATTACTTTCGCTCTCACTCCAAGTCCCTTCCAGCATCTCCCAAATACTGGCATGACAAGTTTACAGCACTTTTGCCAACACAATAATGCCTTTCAGGATTTGCAATAAAAAGAGAACAGTTAAATCAGAATGACAAAAGCCTGGCTTTTGCAAACAATCTACACAAAACAGAGAATGATGTCAAGTTAGCCATTTCATCATGGAATATGGAAGA